AGACAGGCTTTTATTGTTTTTCTTGGGGCTTAAATCAAAGAAGGATTTATTACCCATTACATAGAATATTATTGTCTATATTTTTTTTGGTACAATCAAGGAAATGAAAATAACATGCAGAGGGAAATGATGAGCTCTGTCCTTGGGAAAATTCACACAGGCTTTGGAAATTACCTTGAAGGTAGACAATACACATTTGTTGTTTTAGATCTGGGTGATGGAGTTTTAGCAAGAGCAAGCCATAACAGTCTGTATGCATTTTCTAGGCCTGGTTCCCATGGAAAAACTCGATTTGAAGGTCTGGCTCTTGCCCACCACTTCACTTTTCTAGGTTTTCCATACAGAGATGAGTCACATTTGCCAGACCAAAACAAACCAGTCCCCTACATTCACCCCACAGTCTCCCCTTCCCTGCTGATAATCCTCCATGTGAGCTCCATTTCTGTGATTCTATTTCTGTTCTAGTTGTTTGCCTACTTTTCATTTTTTAGGTTCAGTTGTTGATAGTTGTGAGTTTATTGTCATTTTACTGTTCATACCTTTGATCATCTTGTATTTCTGAGGTAAGTCCCTTTAACATTTCATATAATAAGAGCTTGGTGATGATGAACTTCTTTAACTTCACCTTATCTGGGAAGCACTTTATCTGCCCTTCCATTTTAAATGATAGCTTTGCAGGATAGAATAATCTTGGATGTAGGTTCTTGCCTTTCATGACTTCGAATACTTCTTTCCAGTCTCTTCTTGACTGTAAGGTTTTGTTTTGTTTTGTTTTTTTGAGAAATCAGCTGATAGCCTTAGGGGAATTCCTTCGTAGGTATGTGTCTCCTTTTGTCCTGCTGCTTTTAAAATTCTCTCCTTATCTTTAATTCTGGGTAACTTAATTATGATGTGTCTTGGTGAGTTCCTGCTAAGGTCCAATTTGTCTGGGACTCTTTGGTCTTCCTGGACTTTCTGGAAGTCTATTTCCTTTGCCAGATTGGGGAAGTTTTCCTTCATTATTTGTTCAAATAAGTTTTTAATTTCTTGCCCTTCCTCTTCTCCTTCTGGCACCCCTATGATTCAGATGTTGGAGCATTTAAAGTTGTCCCAAAGCTTTCTCAGCCTCTCCTTATTTTTTAAAATTATTTTTTCTTTATTCTGTTGTGGTGGGATATTTATTTCTTCATTTTGTTTCAAATTCTTGGTTTGAGTCCCAGTTTCCTTCCATTCGCTTTTGGTTCCCTGTATATATTCCTTTATTTCACTTTGTTTAACCTTCATTTCTACCTCCATTTTGCAACTGAGCTCAGTCATCTCTGTGAACACCCTGAATTCCAGTGTTTTGAATTCTGTATCAGACAGGTTGCTATCTTCTTTTCGCTTAGTTCTTTTTCTGGAGTTTTGATTTGTTCTTTTATTTAGGCCATATTTCTTTGCCTTGGCACACCTGTTATGTTGTAAGAGGCAGAGCCTTAAAAATTCACCAGGGTGGGGCAACCCTCCTTGCTGCTATTGTGGCACTGTCTGTTGGGGAGGGGTCAGAGAGAGAACCATGCCACTTGCTGGCTCTGCTCTAACCCTACTTTCTGTCACTTCCCTCACTTCCCACAAGTGGATTGTGGCTTTTCAGATGCTGACTTGCAGATGGGTGGATTTGTGTATGTTGTAGGACCCTGTGGGTCTCTCCCATGGACTCTCCTGTCATCCTGAGAGTTTGTCCCACAGCCACAACTCCCACAGATTTTTATATCCAGAGGTTTTGAGTCTTTAGTTTCGCAGGCTGAAACCCTGGGTTTCATGGTCTGTCTCACTTCCCAATGGTTCCTTCCAGCTTATTGTCCCATGAATATGAGACCAACTGGTCAACCAGCCACCTCCTTGGCTGTGAGTCCTCTTACCTTGGCTGCCTGTCTCCTCCCCTCCCACCAATCTGCATTAATGTTTCTTTAACCCTTGGTTGTTAGACTTCCATGAAGTTTGAATATTTGGCAGTTCTGATTGTTTTTTGTTTTTAAATTTGTTGTTCTCCTTTTGGTTGTGTGAGGAAGTAAAGCATTTCTACCTATACCTCCATTGTGGCTGGAGCTCCTGGCCTGCTTTCTCCAAATGCTTGGTGTATCAGTACATGAGCAGATTCACTGTTAATCGTTTCTATAACTTTGAATATATACATTGTCCTGAACTATCCATTTCAATTAATAATCTTTTCTTAAGATTCCTCCACGTTCTAGAGTTCAAGAGAATTGGTGTATTCCTGGCATTTACCACATTTTATATTTACCTATTTAAAAAGATAAATCTATGTTTACATTTATATTTTAATTTTATATCTTTAATTATCAGTGAGAAAAATTCTCATGTTTTTATATCACTTTTCCTGTGAACTACTTCTTTAAGTGATAATTATTTTTATTTTGTTCCATATTTTCTCAGCAATTGCTTGAAAATGTTATTAAATAGTCTTACAATTGTCATGTTGCATTTCTCTAGTATTTTCATTATTTTTTATACTTTTTAGTGGTGTTTCTTATAGCATAGATTTATTAAAATATTCAAATTTATTTGCACTTTGCTTGATTGCTTTTGAGAATTGTGATTTGCCTAGTGATACCTGTGTAAATCCAATATAATCGGGGAAAGAAAGAGGGTGCAACTTTTGTGCCTTCTTATAATAGTAATATTTAATGTTTAAATATTTGTTTTTTATTTTATTTAGTTATTTTTCAAGTACAGTTTTTTGTCTATTTCTCCCATCCCAGCCCCCCCTGCCCCATCTCCCCACCTCCCTCCCATTTCCCCCACCCCAGTCCAGTGGGCAGCGACCAGAGGGGAGAGGGAAGGGAATGTTTAAATATTTGATTTATTATTTATTTTGATGAAAGTAGTGAATGAGTGATTCACACTCCCTGACTTCAAATGCATTTCTGATTATCATGGTTTATTATATTTTAAAGTATGTTTGAATATATGTAATATATGTTAAGGATAGTTTCTCCTCATTAGACTTTTTTTGTTGTTCAGAATTTCTCTGCCTAGTCACATGGGCCTAGTTTCCCATTCCCTGTGCATATGACACATAAGCTTTATGCAGTATACTTTCATATTTACCAACTTTTAAATTAAAAATATCAAGACATCCACAAAATAAATAAGGTAGTTTGATGATTACCATTTTAGATAAGAAAACTGAAAAGGTTGGGAACTTTCCAAGGTCTCCTAATTGTATCCTGTTGGCTATGGGATGGTAACAGGAGACTGGCACCATGGTGGGAGATGTTTTCTATTGATTCCTCTATATTGTCTGTAAGACTTGGACTTTTGTTCTCAAAACTGCTTTTCTTGAAGATTATGAACTCTCAGCAATGCAATCTGATAGAGGTTTTTGCATGTGTACATAAATTATTGCATTAAAGTTGCATTACCTCTTACAAAGCAGCATATAGTACTTTGGAAGAAATGTGTGTGTGTGTGTGTGTGTGTGTGTGTGTCTATGTGTGATTTCTTAAAAAACAGATCTGAGAGAAAGAGAGATGGGGATATTAATTTTATGTGTATGTTGCTTTAGTAATATTCAGTTGTTTCTTATGTTGTAATTTATTTGGGTACTTGAACTTACCTCAAAACTAATGGTCAAATGAATGAGATTTGTCTTTAAGTTAAAGAACAAATAAAGTATTCTGCATGTAATACATATTTCCTAAATACTATTAATTTATTATTCCAGAATTCCATTTTGGGCTTTTGAAGTTTTAGCAGGAGCTCAGGAACTTGTGTCTCATGATAAATCAATGTCTGGGCCATGCCAGGATTTATCTTTTTATCATTGGAATTAGAAGCAGTACCAGCAGTGAAGAATGAAGACTTCAAGCCCTATTTTCTTGGTTCAAAATCAGCTCTGCCTTTTCTAGAATATGATTGTTCACTTAACATACATCTGCCCAGTTTTCTTTTCTGTAAGTCTGGGATGATAAGACTGCCAACTCCATATCACTGTTGTTGGGGTTAAATAAATGTAAAAAGCATGGAGGAACACCTGGTTCATAGTAAGTACTGCCTTATATTGTCTGTTACTGTGGGGGAGCTTTGTCCAGCAGAGGCCCCCCCCCCAACCCCCTAGCTGTTGTGGATAAGGATAAGTCTACCAATACATAACCTGCTTGGGGAGGAAAGGTGGCCAACCTCTCCAAGGAGAAGGGCCTTGAACCTGTTCCTCAGTGGGCTTTTATTGGGTTCAATTTGCACAGGAATACAGTAAAACTCATCAGTCATTGTCAGGCAGTAATGATCAAACAATAGATAATATTCGAAGGACTATGAGGGCTTATTCTAAGTCAGGGTCAGATTGCTAAAGGGTCATAAAACTTTAGGAAACAAACTTATTTTATGCTTGGACCCTTATCATAAAATTGAGGATATTCTTAGCAAAGCAGGTTTCACAGGATTTTATGCATTCTTCTTAGCCTGATTGCCTTGGGGAACTGCCTGTTCCTGACCAGGGCTGTACCAACCCCCCTCTAGCATTGTTTCAGGCTTAAATTAGGCAGGGGAACTTGCCCAGGGGAACTAAGAGATTAGGAGACTTCTCACAAACAGAATGAGGACTCAGGCTATGTCAAGGCTAAGGGGTGAGGGTCCATCACCCCCTTTTTCTATAGCCCCCCAAGTCCTTCCCTGAATCTTGACCATGCCTGTCTTCTCCTTCAGGGGCCAATGGTGACATTTGGGACTCTTCATTCAGATCTGGTCTTGACCTATGCTTCCCAATGTGTGTGTCTTTTCCTGGAATCTTACCTGTCATTGGCTAACCAGTCATCTGCCTGGGGCCAAGCAGGGTGAAGTGAAGGGGACAGAGGCAGCACCCCTGCCAGAAAGATAAGCTTTTTCTGCTTAGTGGCTTATGATCCCAAGGTCTTTTTCTCAGCTTTAGCCATGGGGGTTACAGCTTCCGAAACCAGGCAGGGTGGTTCCCAACATGTTACCATTATTGGTATAAATATTCCTTTTCAGGTGCAGTAGATATGGATGGAACCAATGATAGCACTCAAGGAAATTTCATCCTTTTAGGATTTTCTGACCATCCCTATCTGGAGAGGATCCTCTTTGTAGTCATTTTAATTGCATATCTCCTGACCATTGTGGGAAACACCACCATCATCCTGGTGTCCCGGCTGGACCTCCAGCTCCACAGCCCCATGTACTTCTTCCTCACCCACCTCTCGTTCCTGGACCTCAGCTTCACCAGCAGTTCAATCCCCCAGCTGCTCTATAACCTGAGTGGACATGACAAGACCATCAGCTACACAGGCTGTGCCATCCAGCTCTTTTTGTTTCTGGGTCTGGGTGGTGTGGAGTGCCTGCTCCTGGCTGTCATGGCCTATGACCGGTTTGTTGCAGTCTGCAACCCACTGCACTACCTGGTGATCATGAATCCTCACCTCTGCATGGGATTAGTGTTGGTAGCCTGGGGCGGTGGGGTGGCCAACTCCCTGGCCATGTCCCCAGTTACCCTGCATTTACCACGCTGTGGGCACCACACTGTGGACCACTACTTATGTGAGATGCCTGCCCTGATCCGGATGGCCTGTGTCAATACAACTGCCATTGAGGGCACTGTGTTTGTCCTGGCAGTGGTTATTGTGCTGTCACCCCTGGTGTTTATCCTGGTCTCCTATGGCTACATCATAAGGGCTGTGTTACATATTCAGTCATCATCAGGAAGGCAAAAGGCCTTCAACACCTGTGGTTCTCATCTCACAGTGGTCTCTCTGTTCTATGGGAACATCATCTACATGTACATGCAGCCAGGAAACAGCTCTTCCCAGAACCAGGGAAAATTCCTCACCCTCCTCTATAATATTGTCACACCACTTTTAAACCCTCTGATCTATACCCTCAGAAACAGAGAGGTGAAGGGGGCACTAAGGAGGCTGTTGCTAGGTGACAGAGAGGTACAAAAGAAGTAACAGCAAATAGAGGTGGGTATCTGCAGCCCAGCTGTCATCTCCTTCAGGGGCCAAAGGTGCCATTTGGGACTCTTCAGTCATATCTGGTCTTGACCTGTGATTTCCAATGTGTGTGTCTTTTCCTGGACTTCCATAAACTGTTTCTGTCCCAGCATTACATATTTTAATATGTAGCTGTATAACACATCATTCAAAAATCCCTGTAGCTGCACTATGAAATAGGTTCAAAGAACAACATGAGATAAGCAGTTATAAAGATGACTTCCCGCAGCTTCTACCAAAGTGCCAAGAAGAGAAACACTATTTGTAATCTGACTTTTTGCTTTTGTTATTTTTAAAAATAACCTATTTTTTTGGACCACAAGACACACCTAGGTTTTAGAGGAGGAAAATAGGGGAAAATTTTTTGAAGCAAAAAATGTGATAAAATATTTAATAGCATAAATAACACAATATTTCACCAATGTAAATGTAAATAGAACTCAATAGCAGCATTAACAACCATTATTTCTCTCAAACTGAGTGGAGGGTGGGCAGTGGGGAGTGTGTCTTATAGTCCAAAAAATATGCTAACAACTGTATTTTAGTCAAAATTACCACAATTTGTTAACTTTTCTTAGCAGAGAGCCATCAAATGTGTAAATTCAGCAAGTAGGGTGTTTTCTAGTTCCCAAATTCACATCCAAAGTCTTTCATGGAAACATGTTTCTTTTCTATCATTTGTTTCCAAACTTTGACATTTCCCCCAAAGTCTAGTGTAAGATAAACAAAGAAGTTAACCTATAAACCAAGAAGTTGGTTTGAATAAACCAAGAATAAACCATGAATAAACCAAGAAGTTAACCTATAAAGTGGTAAGTGGATCATTTAAGTCTTAGAACATGATTATCTCTCAGGCACATATTTATGTTATTAGTGAGAAGGCCCTAATGTTCATCAAGTTCCTGCTATGAGGCAGATGCTCTTATTTATCTAATTTCTCCATTTGTTGGAGGTCATCATAATTTTTTAATTTTTTTGTTTTATATTTTTAAAATATATTTTATTAATTATGCTGTTAGAGTTGCTCCTTTTTTCCCCTTCCTTGCCCCTCTCTGCCTGGAATCCTCATTCTCTCTAGGAACTCCTTCTTTAGTACATGTCCATGGGTTATGTATATAAGTTCTTTGGCTTCTACATGTCCTATACTGTTCTTTTTTTTAAATATATATTTTATTGATTATGCCATTACAATTGTCCCATTTCCCCCCTTCATTCCCCTCCACCCTGCACACCCCCTCTACCACCATTCCCCCCCTTTTGTTTATGTCCATGTGTCACAAGTTCTTTAGATTCTATATTTCCCATACTATTCTTGAACTCCTCTTGTCTATTTTCTACCTACCGTCTATGCTACTTATTTTCTGTACCTTCTCCCCCACTTCTCTTCTAGCCACTTCCCTGTTGCTAACCCTCCATGTGATCTCCATTTCTATGGTTCTGCTCCTGATCTAGCTGTCCTCTTAGATTGCTTTAGTTTTAGGTGTGGTTGTTAATAACCACGAGTTTGCTGTCCTTTCACTGTTCATATTTTTTATCTTCTTTTTCTTAGATAAGTCCCTTTAGCATTTCATATAATAAGGGCTTGGTGATGATGAACTCCTTGAACTTGACCTTAGCTGAGAAGCACTTTATCTGCCCTTCTATTCTAAATGAAAGTTTTGCTGGATAGAGCAATCTTGGTTGTAGGTCTTTGGATTTCATGACTCTGAATACCTCTTTCCAGCCCCTTCTTGCCTGTAAGGTCTCTTTTGAGAAATCAGCTGACAATCTGATGGGCACTCCTTTGCAGGTGATTGTCCCTTTATCTCCTGCTGCTTCTAGGATACTCTCCTTCATTTGAATCTTGGCTAATATAATTATGATGTGCCTTGGTATGTTCCTCTTTGGGTCCACCTTCTTTGGGACTCTCTGAGCTTCCTGGATTGCCTGGAAGTCTATTGCCTTTGCCAGATTGTGGAAGTTCTCCTTTATTATTTCTTCAAATAAGTTTTCCGCTTGTTGCTCTTCCTCTTCCCCTTCTGGTTCCCCTATAATTCAGATGTTGGAACATTTAAAGATGCCCTGAAGGTTCCTAAGCCTCTCCTCATTTTTTTTGAATTCTTGTTTCTTTATTCTTTTCTGTTTGGTCATTTCTTTCTTCCTTCTGGTCCACTCCCTTGATTGAGTCCCAGTTTCCTTTCCACCACTCTTGGTTTCCTGTGCATTTCCCTTCATTTCAATTAGTTTAGCCTTCATTTGTTCCTCTAATTTGTGACTAAAATCAACCAGTTCTGTGAGCATCCTGATCACCAGTGTTTTGAACTGTGCATCTGAAAGGTTGGCTATCTCTTGGTTGCTTAGAATTATTGGCTCTGGGGCTTTGAGCTGTTCTTGAGCCATAATGTTTTGGTCTGTTTGTGCCTGTTATGTATGAGAGGCGGAGCCTTAGGTGTTCACAGTGGTGGGGCAACCCACTTGCTGGGTCGTGAAGCTGTATGTGGGGGTGGGGTCAGAGAGGGAACAGTGGTGCTTGCTCTGCTCTCTCTCAGATTTCAGTTCCCTCTGCTGCTTCTCACAAACAAACCAGGCCCCTGCTGGTGCCATCTCCCAGGTGTGTGGGCCTGTGTACCCTCCAGGACCCTGTGGGTCTCTCCAACAAACTCTCTGTGAGCCGGGGAGCTTCTCCCAGCACCTCAACCACAAAAGTTTTTCCAACTGGTGCTTTCAGGCTCTGATTCCCATTGCTGGGGCCCTAGCTTGTGCAGTCTGTCTCACTGCTCGCTCTTTTGCTTGGTTTATCTGTACTCGAATGTGTGATGGCGGTTATCTAGCTGCCTTGCACCCTCACTGGGTCTGCCCCTTTCCACCCCACACCTGGGATCTGCTGACCACCACTTGAGCTCCTGGGTTGGTCTGGCCAATCTTTCCTGCCTGACCCTGCTCCACCACCACCCTCTGGGGTGCAGGTATGCGCATGCCCTTGGCCAGGCTGCCTGGGTCCTGTGTGTTTGGGCGAAAACCCTTCCCATTGCTATGGGGAGATGCAGGGCCTTTTGTGCAAAGTTGGGATTGCTGTCCAACTGGGTGGGGAGTAAGCTGAGTGGCTGTCGTAGAATTCCCCAGTTTTGCTTTTTGAGAAATTCCTCCTACTTAACCCTGCTGCTCCGTACGACCTAATTCTCCAGTCGACTGGTGACTATCAGGGTGAGCATCACTTCAGGGCTCTCAACTCTCCCAAGCCAGTGACCACAGACTTTGCAGGTGGTCACAGCCCTTGTATATTTGCCTCTTTGTCCTTATTCCCCTCTCTGCAACTTCAAGCAACTAGGTCTCTCCCGGTGCTGCTCAAACTCTGCTTGGCCAGGGAGGGAGGGAGCAGTTGACCTGGCTCTCTCCCAAGGACTCTGTGGCTGGCTCACCGCTCTTAAGGAGTCTATGCTGAGCCTGCAGCTACAGCCGAAGTCTCCACGCTGGTCCCTGGGACCTTATTGTCCTGCAGCAGTCTCCTTACCTTCTGGTTTTTCAGTGTCTGCTACAGTTTTTGGTCTCTTATTTTCATGTATTCTGAGGTACTTCTGGCTGTTCGCTCTGTTCCTCCATAGACCAGCCAGGTTTTTCTCCCATGTGTAGGGGGACGTGGAATCTTCCAAGTGCCCCTATAGTATTCTTACTCTTTGTCTATATAAAGTATATATATATATATATATATATATATATATATATAATATATTATATATAATATTCCTTATACATACTCCATTGCCATCTTCAAAGTGCCCATATAATATTCTTTATCTCTAAAGAATATTCTTTGCCTATATGAAGTATATATATAAAGAATATATTACGGTGGACTTCCGCCAAGATGGAGGCATAGGTGGATGTGCCATGCCTTCTCACACAACCAAGTTTAGAGACAACTAAATATTAGCAACAGAAAACACAGCCAGAACACGGAAAATTGAACTTTTCGGAAGTCCGTTAACAACAAATTCTTCAGCCTTACCGGTAAGGGGCGAAACCAGTGGCTGGTGAAGCGGGGTTGCACAGGAAAACTTGGTCAGACGGACTCAGGCGTGCGGAATCCAGGTGCAGGGTTGGACCTAGTGAGCGACCGAGCGAGCGACTGAGCGAGCGACCAGGCGAGCAACCGCGGAGGAGACAGCGGGGGAGCAGGGCTGCGTGTTGACTGTGGTCGCGCCTTTGTGTGTGGGCAGACAGGCGAGGGAGTAGGCGATTGGACCGGGACCCAGTGGGTCACCGCAGCAGCCAGCAGCGGCAGGGAGAGCGCCGCCATTTCCCTGCTCTGAGCCCACCTCCACATACAGCGTCATAACCCAGTGACTCTGAGTGGTCCTGCCCAGGTGAACCACCTAAGGCTATCTCCTCACCCAGTTGTGAGAAACAGTGGAGGGGGTTGCCATTTCCCCGCTCTGACCACGCCCCCACATACAGCGTCACAACCCAGCAACCTGGGAGTCCAAGGCACTGCTTCTCACACTTAAAGGGCACGAACAGACCAAAAATGGTGCAAGATCTCAAAGCCCCAGAACCTATAGATCTAACTGATGAAGAAATAGCAAAATTCTCAGACGCACAGTTTAAAACACTGGTCATCAGGATCCTCACAGAACTGGTTGATTATACCGACAAATTAGACAAATATATGAAGGCGAAACTAATTGAAATGAATGGAATTGCACAGGACACCAATAGCAATGAAAAGGAAACTGGGACTCAAATCAATGGAGTGGACCAGAAGAAAGCAAATAATGGCCAAACAGAAAAGAGTCAAGAAGCAAGAATTCAAAGAAATGAGGAGAGTCTTAGGAACCTCCAGGACATCTTTAAATGCTCCAACATCCGAATTATAGGGGTACCAGAAGGGGGAAAGGCACAGCCACCAGTGGAAAACTTATTCAAACAAATAATAAAGGAGAATTTCCCCAATCTGGCAAAGGAAATAGACTTCCAGGAAA